CTCTCTCTCTCTCTCTCTCTCTCTCTCTCTCTCCCCGCCCCTCACTCACTCATACTCTCTCTCTCTCAAAAATAAAAAAATTAAAAATTAAAAATATAAAATAATAATTATAAATCTATGTTGCTGGGCACAAAACACATAAAAATATATGACAGGAAGTACATAAATATAGAAACAAAGTTTTTATATATCATTGAAACCATGGTATTTATATTTGTAGGTTAAGTGTCTAACAATAAGGTTTTTTTTTCAAATTTGTATTTAAATTCTATTCAGTTAACATACAGTGTAATATGGTTTCAGAAATAGAATTTAATGATTCATCACTTACATATAATACCCAGTGCTCAATACAAGAGCCCTCCTTAACGCCCATCACCCATTTAGTCCATCCCCCACCAAGTTCCATCAACCCTCAGTTTGTTCTCTATAGTTAAGTCTTTTATCCTTTCTCTCTCTTCTCCCCCTTCTCATAAGTTCATGTTTTGTTTGTTAAATTCCACATGAGTGAAATCCTATGATATTTGTCTTCCTTTGACTTATCTCACTTAGCATAATATACTCCAGCTCCATACATTGTTGCAAATGGCAAGATGTCATTCTTTTTGATGGCTCAGTAATAATCCATTGTGTATATATACCACATCTTCTTTATCCATTCATCAGTCAGTGGACATTTGGGCTCTTTCCATAGTTTGGTGACAGTAAGATTTTTTTATTGTAGTGGGTCTAACATTAAGCTTTTGATCGCCATGATATCCATTTCAAAAAACATTTATCTTGAATAAACATATTGCCAGCTGTATGACACAGCTACTAGAAAAACCACCACATAAGCAATGAGGCTGCCCCATCTGTGAAATTCTGTCAGAAAACCCCAGGTAACCTAAATAACTGACTACATGAGTGACCCTATTTTCTCCTTCCTCAGGCCCTAATTCCTGCCTTTCTGCTTTAAATTAGCCAATAGAGTGAATGAGCAAAACCCTAGACACTCCACAACTGGACCCTAATAAAGGCTGAGCCCCAAGTCTGCTTTCTCTCTCTCTGCTCTCAACCTGGCTACATGGTCCTTGGCATGCTATATATATAATAAGAACCAGCAGAGCTGGCCCAGCATAGGACTGGAACTTACAACCCTGAGATGAAGACGTTCATGCTCTACCGACTGAGCCAGCCATGTGCTCCCAACATCCCACAATTTATGGAATATAACTGTAAATAACTGTATTAAAAAGAACAAAGATCTCAAACCAATAACCTACCTAACCTTCCACCTTACAGAACTACAAAAGGAGAAGAAAACTAAATATAGGCCGAGGAGAAGGAAGAAAATAAAAATCAGAGCAAATGTAAATGAAATATAGACTAGAAAAACAATAGAAACAAAGAAAACATAAGTCCATTCTTTGGAAATATCAACAAAATTAACAAGCCTTCAGCAGATTAAAAAGAGAGAACACTCAAATTACTAAAATACGAATGAAAATAGAGATATCAGGGTACCTGGGTGGCTCAGTCAGTTAAGCATCTGGCTTGGGCTCAAGTCATGATCTCGAGATTCTTGAGTTCGAGCCCTGCATTAGGCTGTCTGATATCAGCATGGAACCCACTTCAGATTCTCTGTCCCTCTCTCTCTTTGCCCCTCCCCTACTAATGCATGCACACTCTCGTTCTCTCTCAAAAATAACCATTAAAAAAAAAATAGACATCATTGCCAATCTTGCAGAAACAGAATTATAGAA